TCGTCGTCATGATCTTCATTATCATTATGCGAATGGATCAAAACCGCGACGCCGCCAACATTCATGCCCCTGCTGACTCCACTTTTGCTCTTCTGATGTTTGTGTTTCATTTGTACACTTTGCAGAGGGTATAAGGATATTTTGCCACATGTTTGTCAGATGGAAAATGAAACATATACCAAGTATTAATTTGCATCCATGTTTATATGTATCTAGTACTTTCATTTTGTGTCTGTTCTAATGAAAATTGTTATCAGACAAAGTCTTTTCCTGATGGATATTTAATTAATATATTAACAATGAAGGGAATATACATAGAGGTGGAAAAAAAAACAGTTCTGAAAATAAATTATAGAAGATTCAAGATGATGGTAAATATTAAGTGCTATAATTTAAGAGATATTTCAGGGGACATAGGACTCTAGAAGGATCATGAATACTTAATCGCACTACTGTTTAATATAGTTTGGTTTAAATTGCATTTGCTTTATGATTTTTCAAAGCTCAAGCAAGTTTCATAAGAATAAGAGTTTTACACACGAATGAGCTTCCAACGAAATATGTATAACTAAAGCGAAAGTCAAACAGAATTGAATCGCGATATATCATATATTTGGTATGGCAACAATCGATCTGCGAGGGTATCCGATTCTGCGGTTCTGGAAATTGCCGTTTGCTTCTTTTGCTTTGTTTTTGCATGTGCTCCACTCACTTTCTGGGGTTGTTCTTCCTCTTGTTTCACTTAATCACTTGTAGCGAGAGAGACAGCAACAGAGAGATGGAGTAAAAAAGAAAGAAAGAGAGAGAGAGAGAGAGAGAGAGAAAGAGCGAGTGAGAGAGAGAGAGACAGTGCGAAAGAGAGGGGGGATTTTAAGTTGAAAATTGAATTTCTAAGAATTACAAAACAACAACTCCGACAGCAACAGTATGAAACGAAGAGCAATATCAACAACAAAAGTGCCGTTGGCATCGCCCTGCCTCCCTTTTCCTTTTTCCCTTCCCCCGCCATACACGACGTCCACCACCCTCTCCACCCAGACAGACAGACAATCCATCCCCAATCCATATACCCATCTTCATATCCATTTCTTCAACTTCAATCCCCATCCACCATCCACCATCCATATCCCATATCAGAGAAGCGGGCTTCATTTCATTGCATTGCATTAATTTTGCCAATTAAAAAGTAAATAGAGCCTGCATCCTTCAGTCCTCCCCCGTAACCCCTTGGCATCCACCTACAAGTGCCACATGATGGGGCAGTGGCAGGGGCACGGAATTGGGAGAACGCGCATCTTTTTCGGCTGTGGGCGCGCGCAAAAGTTTTCAATACAATTTAATCCAATCTGTACACACACACACACATATGCTGTCTATCTGTGAACATGCTGATGAATGCCACAGGCGGTGCCACATTCACATCCCTTGCCCCTGCCACCAGTGGCTTGCCCAAAGTGCCTGGCTCAATTCAATCAGTTTTTCGGGCAGCCCAAAGTGAAGCCCCGTCAAGTCGTTCCCCCTAGCCCCCTGCCGCTCGGGCGGCACAGTGGGCTGCATGGCGCGGCCATGGCAACAGCGGCGTAGAGTTGGCCCCACTGTGCCGGCAGACAATTAAGTCGACCCGTGGGCAATACGAGGAAAGATGCTACCGCAACTTTGGCAACGGCCAGAGCTCTCAACCTCCCATTCCTCTAGCTACTTACACTATGGAAAACACATTTAAGAATTGGTAATAAATAATGGAAATCGGAAGTTCAAAATTTATTAATTAATCATATTAGCAGGATTCTAAAGCCGAGAATATGTTTTCAGAAAAAACAATAATAATATAGGTATTGATTCCATTCGATTCAAGGGATTGTAGTCTTGTTCCTAAATCGATATTACCCTGTTACCCTGTTAATCTCAATCACATTTTTGAAGGATCCATCTCTAGGATGTATTCCATGGGGAACAAACCTTCCTATATTCCTTCCCTTTCGACATGGTTTGAGAGTATCCCTAACTAACTTTCTGTCAGTGTATCTGTGTACCGTTTTACGGTGTCAATACTGTCGACAAGCTTAAACATGGTTGAACCAACTGCCTGGCTGCCCATCCGCCCCCTAAATTGCTTCGCATATGTGAGAGGAGAGGAACTGGAAGACATGTCCATGACGGGGGCCCAAAGTGTTTTTTTGGGGCGTTTTTTTGGGGGGTACACTCGTACTCGTACTCGCACTCGCACTCATACGTTCTTTTTCTGCTTCCTCAATCTTCTTGGGCATCCAGTCGCAACCGTTTTGTGGCGCAATTGTCTTAACCGTCGACGCGTCGGTTGCGTATCGCATATCGCACCTGATGGGTTGGGTTTTGGGGTCCAACCTGCCATGGCACGGCCTGCTATGGCCCAGCCCGGAGCAATAACGTCGTCGTCGTCGTCGCCGTCGTCGTCCAACCATTCGTATAATTGTCGATGCGTTAAGGTAATTGTACACCTAACCAACTACCAGAGGCAGACGCAGACTTGGAGCAGGGCAGAGCCGAGCAGTGCAAGGCCGACGCCGACCCATCTATGTATCTATGTATCTATGTGTATCTGTATCTTAGAGCATGACACTGTGGCTCTGCCTTCTGTTCAATGCCGTTGTCGTTGTCGTCGATTCACTCGCTCGTTTCTAAGTTTACGTTTGTCGTCGTTTGCCATATTGGTGGCACGCTCCGCCGCTTGGCTTTGCCCACATCTCGCCTGGCCCCTTGGCGGGCCAATTTCCACGCCCTTTACACCAACAGCTTTTAAAATTTTCCATTTTCCACTACTCCAACAGTTTGGTTCGGTTCTGTTCGGATCGGTTTGGTTTTTGTTTAGTCTGGCTTTGGTGTTTGGTTTTGGTCTGATTTGCTAGATTTGATTTCAGGAAATCCCTGCCGTGTCAGGTCGCCCTGCCACTTGCCGCCCACTTCCCTCCTCGAACGGCTTCGAATGAACGCATGAACACATGAACATTCAGCTCTGGTTTTGGTTTTGGTTTTGAATTCCGATTTAGATTCAGATTCGCATTTGCCAGTCCTTTGTGCGATTTGTTAGTGTGCTTTGTCTCCGATCCGACTTGGAGGAAGGTCTCGAGTTACAATTGAAAAATTATAGCAATTAAATGGGATCCCTAACCACTCTGACAATTGACTGACCGACTGAATGACTTAGCAACTGGCCAAGGTCCAGTCGGTTTACCAATGTGAAATGGTCTCGGATTCGGTGCGGCATCCGATAGGATCTGCTTGGATTGTGGATTGCTTGGGGCTAACATTTCTGCACATCACCTGTATAAGGTATCAATATTTATTTGTAACATGATATTCTGGTTGCGGTTTTAATAACACTTTCAAACGTTTGTATAAAGGGATCGAAATATGTTTATTTAACGCTTTGATAAGACGAAAATGGTGTTCTAAGAATAGGAATTAAATTAGAATTGTGTTTATTGGATCTAGAACGTTCTTTAGATTCCTAACCTGGCATTGGGAAAATGTCTTCTCTTACTAACCATAGTCTCACTACTAGGTATCTATTGGAAGAAAACTATTGAATCATTCTATTGAATAGATACTTCCGATTTAAATCAGCATTGATTACATGATCTCAATGATTACACCATCTATTCCTTATCGCAGCACAAAATTAGTACCAGTACCATAAAATATAAATGCTATGAAGGATACAATATCTTCGATCCACTAGCCAATATCATTCCCTGAATGATTACCTGGACAATCCCTGGATCGGTGATCCAGTGTCCAGTCTGCTGGCGCTTGTCGGGAAGAGATGCCTGCGTGTTTTTTGGTGGATTCCTGCATCCGCAGCGACACACATATATCACATCGATGCGGCGTTGGAGTCGGAGCAGGGTTTTCGGCCCGTTTCGTATAATTTTTATATGCAGTCATCAACAGCTCATATATATTTTTATTGCCAACGCGCTCAGCGATATGCATCTGAAGCAGAAACAAGAAACAGATCGGGGAACAGGCGGCCTGGCCTGTTGCGGCAGATGAAGATGATGATGATGCGATGCGGATGATGACTATTTCTGCGTACAGATTTCCAATAAAAATATTTTCGACTTGAGTTCGGTTTGACTGCCTCTCCAGCTTCAGCTCAGTATTTCATCTGCCTGTGGGCCTTTGGTCTGTTGTGTGTGAGCGAGATTTACACGCTGATACAAGAAATACACCAAAAAAATACCCATAAAGGCAGCCAGAGAGGAGTTGGACTCGAGATACATTGCCTTCGCTTAGTCACTACCAAAACCAAAGCGATGGATGATCTGTACCCCTCTTTTTCTCTTTCTCCATCTCTTTCTCATTGTGTACTGCTTGTCTCTTTCTGGCATTTTGGGTGTAAAGATTTATTTCTTTATTTTGGCAGCCAGTGGAAGCAGCCTGTACAGCAGCCATCCCCATCTCCGCTTTGTGTCTCGCTTTGGTTTCTGTTTTATTACCAGGAAATTTGTATTTAATACGTTTTTTCCGCGTTTTTGTAGCGTTTTTCGGGTGCGACATTGTCGCTAACCCACTAACCGAAAGGTTCTGGATCCACTGGCCAAGGCCTAAAAGGTGGCGGTTAGTTCGAACTAACTGTCAGTTATCTAAGGCCACCATCGATACATGGAACACAGCCTAGGAATGGTGCTGCTGTTGGTGTGGGGTGTGCCTCCGGGCTGGTATTCAATTTTCAATGGAAGCCACACACAATCCATCAGTTCGCAGAAGACTCGGGGCGGGCTCGGGAGTCGAAAGCTTCTATCATCCGATTGTATCGGTTTGGATCCAGTGTGAGGTGGTTTTCTGTAAGGAGGTTGCAGGATATCGTTTTGGTAAACCATCGAATGGTACTGAGTAAACATCGATAGATAGATAGCTAATCGATTAATATCGCATATGAAAGTCAGGATTTATTATGACATCTCAGCAAAACTTTTACGTTTAGCTTTTTCTCGAGCATTCCTTACACATCGAAAGTATTCCGTAAAAATTAACCAAAGTACATAAATTGGGCCGTTATAGGGATAACGCCTCGCCCTCGCCTTCGACGGACAACGTTCAGCATCCCCGTTCGAGAGTCAAGACCAGTCCACTAGTTCTGTTCAAGGACCTCCAATTCGATCGCCTCAGGCAGGTTCTGGAAACCACCGGATTCGAGATAGCCTTCAGCGCAAATACTAAGTACTACGGCCCATTCGTTGCCACCACGCAAACTCATTGACCGACCCATTTGTTCTCCAGGGTTTCCGCAAAGAAGGTCTTCCTGCGAGTCTTTCATCAGCCTTCCATCATGGAAAACGGCCCTTCTCGCCCGCTCCAAGTGGACCAAATTCCGCCTCGCACCGAACCCCTGAAGCTCCATAACTCCCGCGAGATCGTCAAGCAAGGGCTCTACCAGCTACGCAAAGTGGATACGGTGCAGGACCTGTCACGTGCTGGCATTGACCCAGCCATACCCGCTGATCAACCGAGTGGATCCTCGATGTATAAGGATGCTGACGATGTGGGCGAGGTAGCCTCTTCCTCTTCTTTTGCCTCAGCCACTGAGTTCAAAGATTTGGACGACGATGTATCCAAAGACGAGTTTTTGGACTGTGAAAACTTCTAGAGAACAGTAACACCAACAGCAGAACCATATCCATACCCATAAAAATAGCAATAGCAATAGCCGTCTCATCGATCAGTAGAAATTAATAAAATGCTCAATAAATTCGCTCGAGTCGAAAGCTCATAAAAATGTGTGCAAACAATCGATCAATCACCTTTTGACAGGCACGCAAGTCTCCCATGGAAGCTGTATTCGGATTCAGTTGCGGATTTTGATTCAGAGTCAGAGTCAGAGAACCAGAGTCGGGGATGGCTGACAGCCAGTCTGCCGGCTGTTGCTACCAATCTTTGAGTCGAGACTTCAAAACAATTACACAGCAACATTTCAGAGGTCGTAGAGATGCAGATGCAGATACAAATGGTGTATCCGTGCGATGATCAGACAACTGCCACTGTACAGCGACTGTTGGCTGTTGATTCAAGCGGTTAATCGATAACAAATAAAAACATTTCGACAACTACTTCCAAGGAACAGGAACGGGCATCAGTGCCAACTCAACTCCAGAGCTGAACAGAGTCCCAACTTCAATCCCATGTCTATACCCATGCCCATACCCATGCCCATACCCATACCCATTCTCATTCTCATTCGCCCAACTCCAACGTCTTTGGCTGTCAACAAGTCGACATTGTGTTTATGAGTGGCGTGGTACGCATAAATGCCATGGAAATTTTCTTTTTAATCAATTATGAGTATTAAGCAAAGGGGCCAACCGTCCCGTCCCGTCCATATGGGGATCTCGGATCGGATCCGGGCTGTGGGATCTGCTCTTGCGCGAGAGTATCTCCGATCGCCGATCGGGGTGAGACCTCAAACCGCGCGCGCGAGTCTCTGCCTCAAGATAAAAATCGCAAACATTCTTTATTGAATGCTGTAGATGCCAACGCCAGCCCTCTGTCTCCTCCGTCTCCTCCGTCTCATCCGTCCCCTCCGCTGTTTCTCGGTGTAATCTGTGTGTGTGTGCCCCTAAGACCATGTGGAGTGGCACTTGGAGTGCGACTCTCAAGCTGAAGTACGAGTACTAGTAGCAGTGGCAGGCAAACTCCTCCGGGCCTCCTCCACTCCTTCCGATCCGCTGGGAATAGATCTGTGTATGGGATCGAAAGGGATATATAGGGGGAGTAGATCGATTATAAAAATAGGCCTGATTCTTTCCGAGAAAAAATTATATATAAAAAAAATTAGGTATCCCCATTAATTTTTGCTTCATCTTCTTAAAAGGAAGGAATAAGCGAGGAATATTATTTGCGAGTTTTTTGGAAGGCAAGCTGTCTGTCCCTTAAGCTCCCCTTGTTGTTAATCGATCGATGCAACGCATACGCCTTGCTCTCGCGAGGGTAGCGCACCAGACCCTGGCACCCAGGCCACAATCAAACAAATCATAATCGGTGGCTGGCCAAGCGGTAGACAGTAGACAGTAGCTGCATACGCTTCAAACGGTCGACAGTTTGTCTGTCAAATTGACATTACACGCAGCGACACAGCAGCGCACCAGAAGCCGCTACAGAGGCAAAGTCAAGTGCAGCAGAGGCTGGGGCATGGGGCAGAGGCTGGAGCAGAGGCAGAGCAGCCAACAAGTTGCATTTACATGACACATTCAGCAGGGCGCAGGCTTCTCTCTGGTGCTGGGGCTGGGACTCCGGGCGTAGGCCGGCTGATGGACCGAGGACCCTGTACCCTGTACCCTGTACCATGGACTGCGGACTGACGACGACTGATGCGCCGACGTCGCCTGTTGGCTTCTGTTTGCGGCGCTGACTCAGCTGAATCCGCAGCAGAGGCCCACGGACTTTGGCTTGGATCTGGGCAGACCCTCATAGGGGACGCTAAACAGGGAGCTCTACGGGTACGGGGAGCAATACTGGTGACTGGTGGCTCAACCTGATGATTTTCTGCATGGCTCGCCTTGGGTTCGTTCTGCGTTGGCAACCTGTTGGCAACTCATTAAATAATGCCGATGACTGGACAAATTTGAGGCTCTTCTTCCAGGCATACACCCATACACCCATATAGTTGTATGCATACTTTTTGCCTCATTCCTTAAATGAAAAGTTATTAAACAAGCCCCTGGCCATGGTCGAGGCCAGTCTCGAAAATTTATAATCCTTGTTGTGCAATGGAATTGCATTTGACTGGGACTGGAGCTGGGGCTGGGGCTGGGACTGCGGCTGGGCCTGGAGCTGGAGCTGAGACTGAGGCTGATGCCAAACGTTGGCGTTATAATTCTACCATTCCACCTCGCCAGCCACCATCTGCCGACTCCTACTGCAGTGGAGCTTCTGCCGGGACTCTCTTCTGCGCTGTGTGTGCCAAAGTGACACTTGTACAGATTTTCTTAATGCGCCAAAGTGCCACTTGTCGTCTGTTGACGCTCTTCTCCATGCCCATCCTCAAGGCATTCCCATCTGCAAGCATCGCTGCAAGCATCCCGGCCAGATCGAAGCTGTTTGTACGTTGTCTTGGCTGCAAAATTTTGTTAAATCAGCGCTAAATGTCCCAAGACCTAGACTCAGGCCAAGACAAGTTGCAGAGAAGCCTCAAAACTTGTCCGTTGACTACAGAGTTCTAATTGCTGGCCAACGCATAATTTGTCACATGCCAAATTAATAAACGACTTGCCCAGATGCACCTTTTGGGATCTGAGGCGTTGGATACCCCCCGGGCTCTCACTCACTCACTCAGTCTAACAGTCCATCAGTCGTTCAGTCATTCAGTCATTCAGTCGCTCAGTCATTCAGTCAGCTGCACAGTAGCAGCTGATTTGGCCTCAAGTTGGCAGAATCGGTCCTTTGATTGAGTGGATGATGTGCGCGCTGAGGGCTTCTGCTGCTGCTGCTGCTGCTGCTGCTGGTGTGTGGGTTGAGACTCAACGAGTCGGGATGCCTCCAGGAAGTGAGGCTTAACGCCAAGATGTTTCAGACAGAACGCCATACTTTGGAGAGAATCCAATCGATTAAATATGTATGTTAATAATTCCAAGAAAAAGACCCCCTTTAGTATTGCCCGAATCATCGATGAAATATTAAAGTTATTCTGATTAATAACGTGGCTCGAACAGCAACCGCTTTGTAGCTTCCAATCGCCGAACATTTAATACAAAAGGAGCATTCTTTGCCAGTAGTTCAGACCCCAACCATTCGGCGACTACGAAGACGATGGCGACTCCTCTTAATTGCAGCTACTTGCTATTATTGCTGTTGGTGTGGGTACACTCGTATTCCAGGGTACTCCATGAAGTGATGGGCTGGACAATGGACGGGAAATGGAAAGGTATCTGTTTGAAAGAAGAGTTTGAAATGTACACTTAAAGTGTGCTCTATCTGCCCTGCACTAACCAAGACTGGATTATGCCCTTTGCAACACTGCCTGGCTTGAGAGTATTTTATTAAAAATAAATCGGATCAGAAATCACTGAGAATCCACTAGTTGAAACCCTTTTCCAGGCCCCTTTTAGTGGTCTTCTTGCATTTGTTGTAATGATGGGTAGAGCCGCCGGGCAGTATTTATTTTCCTGGGGTTTTTGCCGCTACATGGTGTTGCTTTTGCTGGTGTTCCCTCTCTGGTTGAGGCTGCCACTTAATTTATTTGTCACCGAACCGAAGCGCAAATGAAGTTCGAAAAAAACAACGACATGCAAAGGCAACTGAAGCAACAACGACCACGGAATCGTTTGAAATTACACAAGAAGCAAGAAAAAGAAGCAGCCGAAGGCAGCAAAAAAGCTGAAGAAATAATTACAAATTAAAATGAAACACGGAATGGGACACATGAGGAAGAGCTCTGGGGATGCGCCAGTGGCATCGGCACCGGCATCGGAGGAGGGTCCAAAGTTTTACCCAAGCTTATAAATAGCCGCGTTGACGACGCTGGCCACGCATGCGCAAAGATTTGTCATAATTGATAAACGACAACAGCGGCCACATTCGAGACTCTTCCATATCTGACGAGTGAACTCGGGGCGGTGTCTTCGATGCCTCGCCAGGGGTGGACCAGGGCGTCCAGTGTCGCCGCCGCCGCCGCCGCCGCCGCCGCCGCCAGTGGCAGTGACAGTGATCACGCCTGGCCGAGCACACAAATCGAAGCGTTGTCAAACAGAGAAGACATACGCTGGGGGTACAAGTATAACGATATGTGGGTTCCTTAAACTTGTGTTGGAAGAGGCACGCCAGCCTACAATTTGTAGTCTAAAATCGAAAGTCAAAGATAAGTTATCGGATATATATCTTACGATTAGCAGGAGTTCCAAATCTAAAGTGGACGATGAGCAATCGATTTCCTATAGATCTAAAGAAATCTCTCTGATATGTATAGACTATGGAGAGAGGAGACCTCCCTCCTGGGACCTCCAGAAGGAGGAGAGTTAGGACCTACAACCTCTTCAGATGTGATTAGCAAATAATCTTTAAATGTTTGCATCAATATTAATATTAATAGATACAGCTTTGCAGTCTCTATAAGAACATTATTACTTTGCACTATCTATCCGATCGATTTTGACACTGGATTGATCGATTAATGTTCGATTGTTCGACAGCTCCGTGGAGACCATAAGATATTCGCTCGCATAAATATCCAAATGAAATCATATGTAATCTTTTTATGGATCGATTAAGCGAGTATCCCAACTGACAACTAACCAATCCCAACCCAGTCTTCGGCTAACAGAATCAATCGATCTTGGCACCACAATTCCAGGGATCTATGTATACACCTCCAGCAAACGGCAAACGGCAGTCCCTGCAGCATCTCGATGTGATGCACAGGTGACGATGACGATGACAACTTCAGTCCTAACTGCACCTTCGACAGCGACAGCGACAACGGGCGGCGACGGCGACTGCGACAACGATGACGCCAAATTGGCAACGAGTTTTTGTGGTTTGTTTTTTCACTTTGTGTTCGTTTTGTACGAGTATCTTGTTTTTTTTCTCGACGAACGTGAGAACCAATTGCTATGTATGGTCATTACAAGCCGTCCAGTCAGGATGGATCGCTCGAACAGAGAACTCAGATCTCTGAGAGGGCAGAACGGGGAATTCAGAGTGTTCGGAGTGTTTGGTGTTGGTTAGAGCGAGAGATAACCCATAAATATTTTAATGATGATTACATTTTAAAAACGAGCGAACAGGCGAACGAGCGGCACGAAATCGAATGAGAAATCACAGGGCCGATCAAGCCTCAGCCTCAGCTCGTACTGAGGTGCTCCTCTGGCTCTGGGTGCTCTGGTAGTTCTTGGTCCGTGGATCTGCACCTGGGGATCTGGGGATCTGGGGATGATGAGCTACTATGCCAGTGCCGGGCGACACTGACGACATTTTTGGAATTACATTGACAGGCCAAGTTGAGACTAAAAGCGATAATTATTGCCGCAACGCTCTCGCCGGATCGTTCGCTCCCTGTCCTGTAAGTGTTGGCGATTGTGTCTTCAGAGCGGGAAAACACGGCCCCAGAGGCTGGAGGCTGGAGCCGCTCGAAGAAAATAAGGAGATCGCAGCTGTTACCACTGATCGACGGCGTCTTGCCAATGTAATTTCAATAATTTTATCTGAGGCCGCGCGCGTCTGCCGTGATTCGATTGGGTAACCGGTGAGCGCTGAGCGGTGACAGATCAAAGCCGGCTTCCTCATGGCTCGGTCTCCCAGCTCTGGCTCTGACTCGGACTCTCTGCGTCGGCAAAGATCACTGATCGCCAGCAATGGGTGGAGTAGAGTGGGGTGGACTCGGTTCGGTTCGGTTCGGTTTGGTTCAGATTGGCATTGGCATTGGCATTGCTCCTGCTCCAGATGTTTAGCTGCACTTTGGCGGCTCCCAGGCAGCCCAGACCCTGCACCTTTCCATGTCTCCGTCGCTGTTGCTGTCGCGATCGCAATCACACAAAGCCAACACTCGAAGCGCAATCATCAACATCAGAGCGAGCGTCATCAGCCGACCGATCCACTGCACTGCCAATTACTCGCCAGCATTGTTGACATGCCTTTTGCCATTTGCATCGTTTTCGTATTGATTTGTTTAAGTCCAGGCCCTGTCCAGTCTCCACTCCTTTCCAATCCCTCCAATCAGCACACCACAATTTTCGGCATCTCAGTCCCATCCCCATCCACATCCACAGGACACAGACCTGTAGATCTTTAGCGATCCCAGCCCAGATCCCAGGTCCCAGGTCGCAGTCCCCTGCATTTTTCTCCCACGGACAGCAGCGTGTGAATGGGCCTTTCAGCGGGTTCAATGTGCCGATCAAAAATATGTCAAAAATCTATCGAACTCTCGCTTTTCGAGAACGTGCTTCGAACTGCTGTCCGGCCCTCCCCTCCCAGATCTGGGTACCCCAGTCAGCCTTTGGACAGGGTGCATGCCTGGGCGATTTGTAGGTCAGTTATCGACCCAGTTTACGTGAGTCCGAGCGAGGGCTCTGGGCGACCAGAAGGCCCTTTCTGTGTAGGGGAGAATGCGTTGGGATCTCCCTAATTACGCAACTGGAGCTGACTCAACTAGATAGCTTTCTTGGGTGTGAAATTCTCTTTAAATCCACTGAGTCAGCTTTAGATCTTTCATTTAAAATGATTAAGCTTAACTTGTGTAAAGAACTTCTGTTTTAACTGGCGCGAAACTTCTGTGATGAAATATACCATGAGAAACCCAAACAGAAGCATTTAAGTGAAGTTTGGCGTAGAATTTTTATTTGTATATTATCACAGAGGTTTAGTACCCTAACGATGTCTGTACTTTTTCCCCAATTTCTTCTTTAACATTTTAGAGTCGAGGATTTTATGGCTTTCCTGCAAGTATATGTATTTTAATGGCAAATTTAGAAATTTAGAAAGCATGTTCAGTACCTACTAAGTTATTAATTACATTGAACGAAGGTTCGTTGATATCCTCATATATCAAAGATCATTCCACCCTTTAACGGCCATACACAAAATCGAACCAAAACAGAAAGCTATATCTCTCAATCAGTAGATCCACTTTCGAAGCAATTAAAATTCGATTGAAATCGCAACGAGGTGAACATGTTAATCGAAGTGCCAGCCGCCACGCCTGTTACCGATTCACTGGCAGAGCAGCATTTTCCCACACCAATTGGCAACCATCGGGGACCGGGAATCGGCGGACTCCCCTACCCGCTACTATTAGGCCCGGGCGCAGTCGCATTTCATTTTGGATTCCAGAAGCGTTTCGGTTCAAACATAAAATAAATAAAAATCAGTACAATTCGAAGAGCTGTTGTCGCCTTTGAGCTTTTGCGACAATCACTCACGTTGCCGCTGGCCGCTGGCCGCTGGTTCCGTCTCCGTCTCCGTCTGCGTCTCTGGGCATGACTCTGCCTCTGGGTCTGCTTTGAATTTGCCTCTGAATCTGAATCTGAATCTGACTGTGACTCTTCCCTCTGCCTGCACCTTCCCGTTCCATCGGAGTTCCATCGTTCAATCATCGGCAATCGTCTTTGAGGCCCTGATTCGTTCGTTAAACGTTCTGCGTATTGAAATGAAATTTGTGTCGCTCAACACGATGACTTATTCAATTATTCGATTCGATAACACGTGATTGAATTATAGAAATAACATTGGATCGGGCCAGGCCGGGTCGGGGCTCCCCTTCGCTCCTTCCCGACATGCTCCCACTGTAAGCCGGCACTTTGTTGGCCTGGTTGCTGTTTATGTTTGCCTGGTTTTCACCTTCATTTTGTTTTGGATATTGACACGAATTATCACACATTAAAAGATTGTAAACAAAAATTTTAAATTGTTTCAGATTTGGTTTCCCTTTAAAACTCTAATACAATTCTCCGCAGAATGGTGGAGGACCAGATCATAGCCGTTGACGATGACGACACCAACGTGAACAAAGAAAGCAGTGATGACCAGTCTCTGATCAATAGCGGTCGCCGCAATGCCGTTCACTTTGCCAGCGTCGGGGATTTCCTCTCCAGCCTCAACATCAGGGACACAGGCCTGACCGCGCTCAAGGGTCTTCACACCCTCAGTCTGGAGCACTATAAGAGTTGTATGCAGGGTCCCGAGGAGCGCGACAGGGAAATTCATTCCTCGGGTTGCATGACTGAAATTGAGATTGGCCAGCCCCCAGCCGATCGTGTATAAGGTCGTGAGATGGGCCAATGTTGAGGGATGTAACCCAATCAAGATGCAGAATTAAAAGCCATTTCGAAAAGAGTTAGAAATCAGAGTGGGTTTCTCTAGACAGCGATCCCCGCCCACGTCACAAACACTTCGATCTTGGACCTTGTAAATTAAATGTACAGCCGTCTAAAAAGTGTGTTTGAACAAGTGAGATACAGTCTCCGGCTTATTCAGACCCCCCTTCAGATTCAGATTCCTCCTTCCATCCAGAAAAATTCCCCGACTTGACAGCTCGATTTGCATAATTGTGGCGGGGCCACGGGCATACACAGCGCATACAAATTGATTATTGAACCGAATTCCTGATATATTTTTTATGGTTTGATTTATGATTGCCATACAGTTGTCAGTCAGTCATAGCCCCCGCCAAAGTCTGCGCTGCGAAGACGGGTGGGGAGGGTTCTTTAACGACTGGGCATCAAAAATGCTAATTGAGCTGTTTATCGATTTGTCAACAGCAATAACCCACAAAAGCCAGCCACAGCCACAGCCACAGCTGAACAATGGTCACATCAGTGGCGACAATTCCGCTTCATTGCTGTTTGACTGCTCGTCTTTTCTGGGGCTCCTCTCCCCTCCTCTCCTGTCCTCTTACTCTTCACGCTCTCCATTGAGTTTTATTGACTATTAAAATTGTGTCAAAATGTGTTTGAAATTTTTTATTGTTAATTATACGCGGCGGGCGTAATGTGGAATCAATAAACAATATCGGGACATTGCAATCGAGAATTCTGGCACAACACAAACACGCGGTGACCCCGACACCCTGATCCATACTGAGAATTCCCTGTCCCTAAAAAAAAAATGAACTAATTAAAGAACCAGAAAAGCGTGAAAGCCCGAAATGAAATCAAATCAAAATCGAATTCGAAAACTTTCAAATGAATAGACAGGCAGATCGGACACGCCGTCCAGAGTCCAAGCGAAGGCCAACAAGAGACAGGCTGCTGGGCCACAGCCTGGCTTTGAGATTGAGTTTGAGTAATGAGGCCTGGAGCTCGGAGCTTGGCGCTGGTCCGCCGACCGCCGACCGCCCTGGCTGGCTGACTGAATGACTGACTGACTGTCAGACGAGCTGACAGAGAGCCCAGAGATCCGCAGAGATCGCCGAGGGAGGGAACCCTGACTGACATTTGATTATTGGCTTCCAATTTGTTGCAGATTTTTTTGTTTTATTTTCCGTTCAAGCGCAAATTGCGTGCGATGCCGCTCCGACAGATCGAGGGACTGAGGCTCGCAATCACGGTTCGTAAATTTTGCAAAAAACCAAAAGCGAGAGAGAAACAGATACAGATACAGGGAGGAGGGGTCTGAATGAGCAGCGAACAGAAGTCAAATTGTGGCCAACATGGAAATTAATGGAGCAATGGAGCGGCAGCGATCGAAGAGCAACAGCAGCAGCAGCAGCCGTGATCTCCTTCTCCATCTGCAACTCCATTTCGTGGCTGCTGCTGCTTCCAAATCGGCGGCAGGAAAGGAGTTATTAAGACAGAGAGGGATGGATAGAGGGAACCCGGCCAGGCCCGGCATTGCTCTGCTTTTTTTCAGTTTAATGAAGGCAGTTCGATCGATTTGGCTGGCTACGAGTCGTGGCTGCGCCGTGCCATGCCACCGCCTGTCAAGGCAGCTACAAGCTGCCCCAGCAGACCATGCCCCATGCCCCATGCCCCATACCCCGGCGCCTAAGCTTCAGTTCCAGTTTCAGTTGCAGCATCGCTTTTTCGAGATGGCATCGATTGGGATCGTGAGGTATTGCACTGTTGAGGGATTGTTTCGGCGATGCAACTATCGCAGTTATAGATGTAGCAGATATAGCCAAAAATCGAGGAATATTCGTGTGAATGAATCAGAGTTGTGGAATTTGCCTGAATATATATTTAGATTAAAAGAGAAAAATTCCAAGCAGAATATCCCATATTCGAGTATAGGATGTTTCACTTCAATTTGTTTCAATTATGTTATTTTTTAATAGTTGATCTGATTAGAAGGCACCCATATTCCACATTCCTATGTTCCTCTACCAACCAATTGGAGGACATTGCTCGTTGATCGTGGTCTGACTCGTGTCACGCTCCCGTCACTATGAAAGACAGCCTCATCGACCAGTCCTCGGCACAATTTCAGTTTGCTGCTGTTTTTGTTGGCCAGGCCAACGATGCCCCCATCACCATCACCACCGCCATCCTCATCCCCGTCCCCTCCCCGTACTCTGGACTCTGGCAGCATTTTCGATCTGTCTGTCAGTCAGCTGCCATTTTTGCTTGGCTCGGGCAGCCAGCCCAGCCAACCAAGTCGGCGAACCAATTGATTGACATTGCCCACAACGCCCTTTTGCTTTTGCCTTGGCTTTGGCTTTGGCCATGGCTATGGCTTGAAGCAGCAGCCAACTTGGGGCGGTCCGAAAAGCGGTCCGGGTCCCGAAAGAGCGAGCGACAGTGGTCAAGTGGCAACGTTTTGTGCACAACTGTACCGGAAATGTGGGAAAATGTGAACCATTCATGAATGGTTTGCTTCTGGTGAATTATGCCCCAACCAACTACAAATTATACAACAATAATTAATTAAGCCAAGAAGTCCACAAACCAGTCAACACGAAGACACGGAGCGCATACGGACATGGACATGGAGACAGTCAGACGGTCAGTGTGGACGGACTCTGTGTAAAGTGTTAACCAGTTAGCCAAAGCCAAAGCCGAAGTTCATTCAAGAAAAGCTGACAATAACAAAAAACAGTTACTACACACAGAAAGAGACGCGTCGGATGGGCACAGTGGAGCACAGAGGGGCAGATGGAGCAGATGGAGCAAGAGTCGTTGAGCGGTCAAAGCCGTGTAATTATGAAATTCAAAGAAATGAAGCATTAAACTGAACAATCTCGAAACAAACAAGAAATATGATATATGGCCCTATGCCAGGCTAAAAAACTGTTCATGACTAAATTAGCATGGCTGAAACCACTGGAACGACTGGATCCACCGCCCATTGATAAAGAGAGACCACTCTACTCTATTCCACTTCCACTCAACCATTTGAGCCTTTCTCATTGACAACTTGGGAGAGATACATATATGTACATACATACTCCAAGAGAGGGTCTGAAATGGTTGACAAATTAATACAGAGCTCGTCTTTTGGCTCAGGCTCAGGCGTTTGATGTCGACCGACGCGCTGGGCCGACTTGAATTTCTAATTGGGAAGTGCTATAAAAAACACAGCTCCAACTCCATAGTTTGATTACTCCAACTTCAGCTTCTCCGAGTACTCGACTAAAAACTACGAATTGTCCATTGGCTGGATTATTTTCTCACCATTTGTTCGCTTCTCGCTTTATGATTATTTTTACAACTATTATTATTATTATTTAAGTTGTTTGTCGCTGGTTTTACAATTTCCAACGAATGGCCCCGACAGACCGACCAAAATTTCATACTCCGAAATGAATTTATAGTCATTAAACTGTGAGCTATGTCTTTATAAGTCCATGTTAGTCGACTGCTACAGTGGATACAGGGGTAAGGAGTGTCCAAGGGAGGGGTATTTCAATTCAGGGAAATCGAAATCGGTTTGCTTGCGGAACCCCAGCTGTGGCTTGGAATCGAGTCCAGAAATATTCCAAGAATTTTGCATAGATTTCAGTTTCACCATCGAAAATATTGTAATTTTTCTATTTAATATTTCCTTACTCAATTCTAGATTTACCCCTTGAATAATTTCAAGGGGCGATCTTTCCATTCACAGTTTTGTTTCTAAGTGTTCAACTTCTCTGAAGCTTTTTTCTTTTAATTCTATGCCTCTAAGACTCGAATTTTGTGAACGAAATGTTCTCAAATCGACTCAATCAAGAATATATATAATTTATGAGGTCGGAAAAGCTTTCTTCTGGGCGCTACATACGTCCACTTTCCGCACAAATCTAATACACCCCAATACTCATTTTGAGTATAGGGAATAAAAGGTTGACATCGGTGGGCTTGCCTCCTAGTCATTCTATACCTTTCTTTGTTCTATCGATCCCCCCATCTATCCAAGCGATCTCGAATATCATATTTTACCATTGCACCGATTCGAATGCCAACTTTCCCACTCGGATCTGCAGCGGCTCAGATCGGTTCCAGCCAATCTGCGGCTGACAGACAGAGAGCTTTAACAATTAGCACAACTCCTGACACTATGCTGGATCTCTGCAGTTCTTCAGCTTTTCAGTTCTCGTCGCTTCAATTGAGCAGTCGCAAAAGATTTTCCATTTCCCATTTTCCCAGGCATCCATTGCCAGACGTGTACACATTTCTAATTAAATTTTCAAAGTTTTTTTTCCATTCTGAGCAATTTTTGATTGACATTTTACATTAAATGCTCCTCTGGCCACGGCGCAACGGAGCGGGCATTGGGGATGTGGCCACAGGAATAGCAAAAGAGCAGAGCAGCAGAGCAGCAGAGCAGCAGACCAGCAGAAGAGCAGAAGAGGAACGTTGAAATTGATCAATTTCACATAATTTCAAGGCAAGTCGGACGCGGTAATGCAAATCCGACAGATGCGACTACGATTCCAGCCTCAGCCTCAGCATCAGCATCAGCTTCAGATCCGACTGGGAAGGGGAGTGGGAATGTTAGAAGTGCTTAGATCGCTCAACCATTGCTGGGGGGTGGGGGATAGATTATGGCTTTTTGGGAGGAGGATGGATTCCTGGTGCCGCAGATGGACCAGCTTATGATTGACAACGGCTGAATTGAGCCGCTCTGTAAGTCCACGCATCCAGAACCGAACGAACCGAAAACCAAACCTTGCAGGTCCTAACCGATCCTGCCCCCGTTCGGCCTCGGAGTCCCCTGACAGCTTGACGGGCTTTGGGCGCTTTAAACGTTTCGGTTGCCTCCCTCGACGCTGATCTCACCATCACCTCTGCTTTTAGCCTTTTAATTGCTGGCCGTTTGCTGGACTTCTTCAGCCTCTTTCACAATTCTCATTGATCTTTTCTCGAATGTGCGCAACTGTCGGATTTTGTGAGCTGTCAGTGGCTCGACTCGACTCGACTCTGGCCGTGCCTCGTGCCCCATGCCCCGCTCTGGATGCTGATGCTGATGTGTGTCTGTGTCTGTGTCTGTCTGTAGCGTGGCATATCT